GGAACCCACGACGAGCTTCTCGAGAAGTCGGGAGCCTACTACAACCTCGTCAGCGCTCAGAACATTGCCCGCGTCAACGAGATGGATGCCGAGGAGGAAGCCGCCATTGACGCCGAAGACGACGAGCTCATCCGCAAGAAGTCTCGCGTTTCCGAGAAGGGCGATTTCGTTCCGGATCCCGAGGACAACATTGCCGCCAAGCTCGCGCGCACCTCCACCACCAAGTCCCTGTCCAGCATTGCTCTCCAGGGCAAGAAGGAAGACGGCGAGGTCAAGTACGGCCTCTGGACTTTGATCAAGCTTATCGGCTCGTTCAACAAGCAGGAATGGCACCTGATGCTCGTCGGTCTCTTCTTCTCCATCATCTGCGGTGGCGGTAACCCCACCCAGGCCGTCTTCTTCGCCAAGCAGATCATGACCCTCTCGGTCCCCGTCACCCCAGAGAACGCCCACCAGATGAAGAAGGATTCCGACTTTTGGAGCGCCATGTACCTCATGCTCGCTGGTGTTCAGTTCATCGCGTTCGTCATCCAGGGTATTCTGTTCGCCAAGTGCTCCGAGAGACTGGTTCACCGCGTCAGAGATCGCGCTTTCCGCACCATGCTTCGCCAGGACGTTTCCTTCTTCGACAAGGACGAGAACACCGCCGGTGCGCTCACCTCCTTCCTCTCGACCGAGACGACCCATCTTGCCGGACTCAGCGGTGTCACTCTGGGCACGTTGCTCATGGTCTCTACCACTCTGATTGCTGCCCTGGCTCTCGCTATCGCCATCGGGTGGAAGCTGGCGTTGGTCTGCACGGCGACGATTCCTATCCTCATCGGCTGTGGTTTCTTCCGTTTCTGGATGCTCGCGCATTTTCAGCGCCGCTCCAAGACCGCCTACTCCAACTCTGCCAGCTACGCGTCCGAGGCCATCTCGGCCATCCGCACTGTCGCTTCGCTCACTCGCGAGAAGGACGTCATCCAACAGTACCAGGCTTCTCTGGCTGTCCAGCAGCGCGCGAGCTTGATCTCCATCCTCAAGTCCAGCTTGCTCTTCGCCGCCTCGCAGTCCTTCATGTTCCTGGCCTTCGCCCTCGGTTTCTGGTACGGCGGTACTCTCATTGCCGACCTCGAGTACAACATGTTCCAGTTCTTTGTGTGTTTCTCGGCCGTCATCTTCGGCGCCCAGTCTGCCGGCTCCATCTTCTCCTTTGCCCCCGACATGGGCAAGGCGCACCAGGCCGCCAACGAGCTGAAGATCCTCTTTGACCGCAAGCCCACCATCGACACCTGGTCTGAGGACGGCGCCGCCCTCGACTCCGTCGACGGCACGCTCGAGTTCCGCGACGTCCACTTCCGCTACCCCACCCGCCCCGAGCAGCCTGTCCTCCGCGGGCTGAACCTGTCGATCCACCCCGGCCAGTATGTCGCTCTCGTCGGCGCGTCCGGCTGCGGAAAGTCCACCACCATCGCCCTGCTCGAGCGCTTCTACGACCCCCTGTCCGGCGGCATCTACATCGACGGCAAGGAGATCAGCTCCCTCAACGTCAACCAGTACCGCTCCTTCATTGCCCTCGTCAGCCAGGAGCCCACCCTCTACCAGGGCACGATCAAGGAGAACATCCTGCTCGGCGCCGCGTCCGAGGTCACCGACTCGGCCATCGAGCACGCCTGCCGCGAGGCCAACATCTACGACTTCATCGTCTCGCTGCCCGAGGGCTTCAACACCGTCGTCGGCAGCAAGGGCGCCCTCCTGTCCGGCGGCCAGAAGCAGCGCATCGCCATCGCGCGCGCGCTCATCCGCGACCCCAAGATCCTGCTCCTCGACGAGGCCACGTCGGCGCTCGACTCCGAGTCGGAGCACGTCGTGCAGGCCGCCCTCGACAAGGCCGCCAAGGGCCGCACGACCATCGCTGTCGCCCACCGTCTGAGCACCATCCAGAAGGCCGACATCATCTACGTGTTCGACCAGGGCCGCGTCGTCGAGCAGGGCACCCACGCCGAGCTGATGAAGAAGAACGGCCGCTACGCCGAGCTGGTCAACCTCCAGTCGCTGGAGAAGAACCGGTGATTCGCTTAGAATGTGAATTTGAGAGGAAAGAGAAAAGAAAGAAAAGTGCATATGTCAGCGGAGGTCCCCCATCGCGTTGTCTCCTGAGATATCCGGATCGAAGACCTCGATCCATGTCTATTTCTGCATTGTTTTGGCGTTTTTGTTGAATTTTCCGGGGCAAGATGGCCGGAGATAGAACTTGGCCATGATACCTGTTGTCTCGATCGTGGGACAGATAACTACTACACTTTGCTCACAAAAGGGGGGCACTTATTGTTGACGATCAACGAGAAGAAAGAGATGTATGATCTCAACGTGTTTTTGCTGTAGCCTTTGGTTTTTTATAATGGTCTAGGGTTGAGAAAGTAGACTCCCCTCCCACTATGTACGGTGGTCAGATAGACATAATTCCAATCATTCAAGATGATCGTGTTCTCCTGGTGCATGGTGAAGACTGCTAGATGAAATGTAATGTTTTATGACAGGCGTCGACGGGGTGTATTGACAGAGACCAGAACGTGGGCTCAGGATGGCCGTCCAACTATCGGCCTTACTTGGTATATAAACCATCTATCTTTCGAGTCGGAAGAGATGTTTAGCAAGATGAAGCGCCATGTTTTCCGTGCAAGCTTTCCCCTACAAGGTGGCTGACCTCCCGTCTCGCTAATGGATGGTAATCTGGGTTTCGACAGAACAGGTCGCTCCGTCGAAGTACCGACTACCTTCATTTTCGTCGTCGTGAGCTTTCTCGGTCGTATTCGTTTTGGCTGATCCGTGATTATGAGCAGCTGTAGTCGCTTGATGAGCCCTGAGCGCCGTGTTAGTCACTTGTGGCCTATTTAAATCAATTTCCTATCCATTGAGAAGACATCCAGCAAATGTGGTAGTAAGTGTGGTAGTAGTCACAGTTGGCTACAATCTTACCCAGACGAATAACATCCTGGTATCAAATGCATTGTGAATCTGGGGTTTCGGACGGACGCCGTCGATTTGATGACGCCCGGCTTTCTTTAGTTCTATCGTTTGGTTGCGTCTTGGCTGTATTCATTCATGGTTTATTCGTGAATTCTGCAATGGTGTGTGAGAGTTCCCCGAGTCTTGGGCTGTACGCTACGACAGCGGACGGGAGAGTCTGATTGAGGAGTGGGCGGTGTTGCCATAGAAGATCCCTTGGTATAGGGATATTTTCTGGTTGAACTTCCTGGAAGGCGTGCTGATTCCGGGGCGTCTTTTATATTCTACTGAGCGGCCTGTCGCGGTTCCGCTGTCGTGGGAGTTGGTAGTATAAATTGTGTTGGATGGGTTTGAATCAAGGGCCCAACAATGCTGTCTTGTCGCACATTTCTTTTCCAAATGAAGGTAAGCAGACCGACGGTTCTCCATAGGGAGTCGAAGCACCATGCTGTGGCTCGAGAAGCAGCCGATCAGATACGTCGTGGACGTAATCAACCCCTGTCTGTCTCCCTCTTCCTTCGTCGTTCCTGACTGATGAGGAGAGAATACACAACGGGTGAAACGGCACCTCGAGAACACGAGAATCTGCTTTCAGTGTGTGCGACGCGCTGACTTTATTTCGGTCTTGGAGGGATCTCTTTCGCCCATCATGCAGACTAAGAGTCAAGGGGAAGCATCATTGTGCGGTTTGGGGCACAGCTACAAACCACAAGGGGGCCATTTTATATCTCTTCTCGGAGCGCGAAAATATTCCGCAAACACCCGCGTATCAAATCGTCGATTATCGGCCGGAAGGACGGGAAGTATCACAGGGCGGCAGGTAGGAGTCTCGACAACTTTGCGGTTTGAGAAGACGGATGAACCATTTTGAGCATGGTTGCGATGCGAAACCCATGAGAACCTTGGAGATTGAATTTCGGTGGGCGTTGAATTGCGTCAAAGTCGCCCAGAAGCTCGCCCTGGTCAGAACACCGATCAAGAGATTATGCTTTTCGATACTTTTGTGGTAGAGCAGCTCTATACGCTAGCCATGGAATCATGCCGTAATGGGGGAAAGAGGCTCCAGGTCCCCTGCAGGCCTCACTGAACTAGGGGGTCTTACTCGTCTCTCTTCGTCTTTGACTGAATATGAAGGTTATTACGCCCCATTATTCCGCAATCAATGCCTTGACGTGCTGAGTCTCTCCGTGGAAAACGCGGCTGTCAGCCTGGCGCCGCTGCATATGTTGGAAGCACCCAGAATCAGCATTTTCCAATGCCCAATGTTGCAAAGAGGAGCATCTCTCGGTGTGGAACAAAAAGAAGCACCCCATAACCGCCCGCCCTGTAAGTCGTCAGTGCACTGATCCAGAGGCGGATAGTATAAAGGGAAGTAGGGAGATCGACTGATAGGAGGTCTGGGAGGACAAGATGAGACCAATAACAGTGTTGGTATTGATAGGTCCTGTTCGACATCGTTACTTTGACGTGGCCCGAAAGTTTTCCTCGGCCAGAACGCCTCGCACAGTCACTAATAACGTCGTCTTGTACTGTCGGCGGTACGTTCGTTCATGATGCGCCACACAAGCACTCTGCAAGGCTGAAATGACTCCCTGGGGAGGTGGCGGCACCACGTCCAGAACTGATGGTACCTTGGCTTCCTTGATTCTGCAGGTTCTCATTCCAGCGGCTCATAGCAATCGCTTCTTTAGCACCTTACGGAGCCGGTGGGATATTAAAGTCATTCCGGGCCTAGAATCTCAATCCCGAGCCCGTACCTGCAGTTACACGTCCGCCGTCCGCGGCTTCCCAAGGCTGCGGAGTTTGGAAACCCGATCCTTAAGCCCACTTACACGATGGTCACTTGCAGCCGACTTTATCCTTGATGGTTGTTCGAGAACAGCATAAAAGGGCAACCGCGGACTCGACTCTCGAGATTTTGGGGGATTCATGCATAACAGTGTGCTCCCATCAACTTGAATAACATCGAAGAAAGTCTCACCCGCGGCCAAAAGGTTCAAAAGCAGACAATGTCCGCCAAACGAATCGCCCTCATAACAGGCGCCAACACCGGCATCGGCTACGAGACCATCAAAGCGCTCCTCTCCTCCGACAGATCCTACCACATTCTTGTCGGATCCAGATCCACGGAGAAGGGTGCGGCGGCCGCCAAGCAACTCCGCGACGACGTCCCCTCCAAGGCGAGCACCCTCGAAGTAGTCCAGATCGACGTCGACAGCGATGAATCGATCGCCAGCGCTTTTGAGCTAGTCCGGTCAAAGCATGGCCGTCTAGATTACCTGGTGAACAATGCTGGTAAGATCATAAACGTGTTCGTATCCTTGAAGACGCTTTGATTTTGACTTGGCCAGGTTGCGCTCTTACCGAACCAGACATGCCCCCACGCGAAGCCTTCAACGCCATGTACAACACAAACTACCGGGCCAGCACGTCGTGACGATGACATTCGCGCCGCTGCTGATCAAGTCCGACGACCCGCGCCTGCTCTTCCTCACCAGCGGGACCGCGCACCTCGCGCGGTTCGCTGAAGAGTTCTGGCCCGGCGAGGCGCCCGCCGCCGGGTGGCCGAAGCCGGCGGCTCAGTTTGCGCCGACGGGGTACCGCGTCAGCAAGACGGCGCTGAACATGCTCCTCTTGGCGTGGCACTGGACGCTGAGGGCGGACGGGGTGAAGGTTTGGGGGGTTTCGCCGGGACAGTTGGCGACGAACCTCGGCGGGGATCCGGGGTTGTTGAGGAAGCTGGGAGCGGGGGATCCGAGTCTTGGAGGGCAGCTTGTTAGGAAGGTTCTGGAGGGGGAGAGGGATGCGGATGCGGGTAGGATTGTGAGCCAGACTGGGGTGCAGTCGTGGTAGGCGTCGCGGGGCGTCTTTGCATACTCTGAGCATGGTGTAGGTATCTTTACGTAGCTTCCCTTCCTTAATATTCCCCTGTAAGATCTTCTGAAGTGCTCTGAATAGTGTCCTGCTTCTTGTCGTCGTCGTCGTCGTCGTCGTCTCTCTCTATTCTTCACGTATGCAGAAGTGTATAAGCCAGCACGACGTCTCTCACGATTCTTCGTAACCAAGCTCTCTGCCCGTCATGACACACTATTCGAGGAATCTAATCATGGAAGAACTTGTTGAGACCGACATGCGAATGTGTCTGGATGTGAGGGTTCAACTATACCCCGTCGCAATGGAATATACACGTACCAAACTTTCGAAGAGCACGTCTACGGCGCATCCCGGAATTGGCTATATAAACACTCTCCTGTCGAAGGCACATTGACGACACCAGCAATCCGGGCGTCTTCCCGGAGGAGAACCTCCTTCTGTGGGACATCTCCATCACAACGATCGACTCTCCTATCCGCTACGAAACACTAAATACATCAGGAACGAAGCTTGATCGCGACGGGACTAGTATACCGTCGTCTCTGATCGTCTTTGGATGATACTTGTGTGTATACACGCCTGTATGGAGGAGTAGCCGCCATGAGTGACGTTGAGACCGTGGCAGAGATGCCGACTTGACAGTCTGCCGTGCAAACATTCTTGCCCTTAGAGAAATAGATAAGCCAGCTAGGAGCTGCATTGGTATGGCACATCCTGCGAATTCGCTGAGATGAAGTCGATCCTTTTTATATCGAGTCATGATGAGACTCAGGTTTTCTAGAGAGCTAAGGTCCTCGTCACCTCCTCAACTCGACCCTCTTAAGCCAGGGTGACTGGATATCGCCGGCACTTCAATTAACAGTTCGCTCGTGACGCCTCACTGACCATTGAAATTTGTCACTGTGGCCTGAAGGAACAAGTATTTCTCCTCTGAAGGGATTCGCGGTACCTCACGGTCATTGGGTTCTCAGGGGAACCGACCGATGCAGTAAATCGGTCCGTCTTCTGTTCCACTGCACTTCAGACGCCCTGGGATTGAACACGGTAGTTGCATCGACATGCAGGATTCAAAGTCTCATGCGAGCCATACCACCATGCGAGCCATACCATCACAATCCTGCTCACCTGTTCTTCTCATATCTCGGACGCTCTAGCGTGTTGTGTTACAGCAACAAGGACCCCAGGACCCCACAACATCAGCCTTGTGAGCCAGCGCAAGATCAATAGCGATCTGGACTCCCAGATCTGATGCTAGGCTTCCCGCTCGACGTTGTTATCTTAGGAACACAATGCGTCTGCAGCGTCACCGAAGACCGGCGTGGGGGCGAGTCAATCCTTCGTCCTTCTGGAAACACAAACATGCGCACGTCCAGACGAGAATCCCTCAGGCCCTTGCAAAGAGCCGCAATGCCAAGGAGCGTGCTGTCCGGGATATTTTGGTTGTTTGTGGTCTGTGGGCGGGACAGCCCGGACTGGGCCCCGCTCGACCCCGACGCGCGGCCGTCACACGGAGCTCGCGTGGAATCTATCGGTCCTTGTGCCCGGGTGCCGCGCGGATGCGATCGCAACGCTACACGGGCGGACATAGGGCTGCCGTCTGTTGTTGTTCGGCAACACGGTGACGACGACATGGTATTTGAGCGGCTACTCGGCCTGTGTTCGCGGTGTGGCTGAAACATTAGGTCGAGGACATGATGTGAAGCAAAGGCTCGGAGTGTTTTTGTGGCAGTCAACGACTGTTTCGTCTCGGCAGCTCCAAAGCTGTCAGGGAGCAGCTCGTGTCCTCACTTCGGGTCAGGTTTAGACAACGCCATGTCGTGATTGCCTCCCTGCTCGAAGGGATACTGCCAGCGTCAAAGTGGTGTCGTCAGGTTGTTCGCATCTGCCCATGTCCCACAAGGTATGCGGGTGAGACCTGTCTGAGTTTCAGCGAGGAGGACCGCAAGCCGGGCTGCCGACTTTGGCTCCCAATTCGTCCGCCCGAGTGTGGCGGAGGATTTAGCCAGCACCTGTGTCTCGGTGACTTCGTGTTGTGAACTCACATCTTGTTTGATGTGGTCACTCAAAAGCATTGTTGTGATTCTTGAGCCTCACCTGCACGATACATCGGGTAGTACGCAAGCAGGGCGAAGTTGTATCAGGTTGCCGCTGAGCAACATCGCCTCAGTCGTCTCATGTCTGTGGAATATCTGTGCGCGCCGACGGACAATAATTCAAGCTCTGGAAGGTGATACGGTCTAGACCCAGCCCGACTCAACCATGAAAGCTGTGCTCGCCCAGCCATGAAAAGTCGATGATCACAACCTTGTTAGGTTTGGCCATGATGAGCGTTCAACGTGGTTGGAATGCTGGCATGGAGCACACTTGACGAGGATATGCGAGCCCGAGCTGCCGTCGACGCGCAGTCAACGCGCCGTCTTTGCCGATCTCCAGTAACTCGGGTCGCTGGACGGGGACCCGGCAACCAGAGCAAGACCATTGAAGCCGAATAGCCCGAATAGGGGCAGTGATATCATACCGCGGCCCGACTGATCACAGCAGCTTGCTGCATTACTCTTCATCACACACACGCGACCCGTGGCGTCGTCGCACAAAACCTGTCGGGTTACGGTTGAGGTCTGAGCATCTCCCAAGTGAACGGTTTGCGGGCGGTATGCAAGGAGGCGCAGGTACCCGTCGACTAAAAGGGGCACCGCGAAAGCCACAAATCGATAGACCTCGCGCCGCCTACACGCTAGCCACGGCATTGGGAGCTTTCAAGAAATGCGAGCTGTGGATGCGAAAAAGGCAGCCATAAACGCCGCGGGCCAATACCAAGACAGGCCGTTTCCTTCAGGGCCGTGTGGCAGTCAGACACGCGGCGGCGGGAGATGGCATTCCTGACGGGCTCACCGGCGTATCGGGTCGAGGGAAATGAGACAGAACTGACATGACACCACCTCGGATAGGTTTGACGACAGGTAATCGTCCGAAGACGAAAGGCTCGTGTCAACCCTCCGACGGGGATCGCGCGGGGGACGACGGTAGGGTTCTTCGTTGCAGGAGTGAAGTCGACCAGCGCATGTGCGTGTGGATGAACTGCGGCTGATGGCAAGGGACCCCGCCTGGGCGGCATGGCAGGAAATGAGCAGCTGGAGACACAAGACGTGATTTGATTCCCAGCGGGCCGGCTGGCGCCTTGCAGAATCGGTCGATTCCAGTGCAAATCTTTTCGGCGGCCTTGGCCTAGACTCTGACATTGTTGACGATGGCGGCTGATTTGGGTGCCTCATTGGCGCGTGTCATTGAATTGAGCACGAGAATGACAACGAAATGACAGCTGCAGGTTGGAGGCTGGAGATCCTCCCAACGGCTCGACGGGATTGGCGGCCGAGGATGAACGAGAGGAGGGAGGCCATCGCGTGGGCTTGTCATGCCCGTAGGCAGCATCTGTCGGGCGATGACCGCAGCTGCATGGCAAATGTTTATGGAGACGGATCGAGGCTAGAGGCATTTCGAAATTCCTTATTCGGGCCACGTCAGGCCAACGGGTGACGACGACTCAGACGATGGGGTCCAAATTGCGGTATGCGGCATGGCTGTCAAATCTTGGACTGGATCGGAATAGACGCACGGAAGCTGGATAGGAGAGCCGGAGAATGGAGAACGGAGATGGGCAATTAGCAAAGAATTCTTTTTCTTTCTTTTCTCCTGAGAGAGGCGAGAACAGACGTGTTCGGGTGTTGTTTGTCCAGGGATGGCCTAGTTGGGAGTCGCTATTTTACTGGGAGAGACCATCTCGAAGCCCCCAATTGTAAATGAAGCAACAAAGTTTGACAGCCGAGAGGATCATTGGATCATTAGACACAGGGCAGCGTCGTGTCCCGCCGTTTCCCGTTAGGCCAGGCCCATTCGTGCAAGGTAAACAACCTGGAAGGCAGCATTCAACGAGATGAGCCTTCCCTTTTGGAGTGGTGATGTTGGATTGGTTGGATTGGAAGCTGAGCAAGAAGGAGGCCTGAGGAGCTCCTTCCAGGCAAATAAATATTGAATAATGTGAAGACTCCTGTGGGCTTGCCTGTCGCGCCGTCAAGTGGGAAGTGGGGGTGGACGCGACACTTGGACCAATGACAGGCCCCACAATCTTAGCAGAGCCCGCTATGATTCGCCGATTTAATCTGCATTTTTTTCAGGTGCAGGCATTGTGCACTGCGGTCAATCTGGAGCTCCTTCCGTATTTTCACAACTGCTCCTCGTGTCCCGACAGGAATACCCCAGCCGGCGATGCACATCTCGCGGTCGAGTCGGGGTCGGGGAATGTGCATATGCAGGCGCACAGCTGCTCTTGCCTTGTGCAGGTCATTAGCTGGTATGTGGGGCGATACGCAATCCATCATTCGCTATCAGCAAGCTGCGAGGGGTCACGCTCTCTCTGCCTTGGTCCTTGGCTACAACCTTCTTGGGCAGTCGGCAGTCAAGCTCCGTCGTCGTGGGAAATAGCCCAGTGTGGTTCAAAATAGACGATGTGAGCGGAGGCTTTCTTTACCCAAGGCATGTACCTACTCTACGATACTTTGCAAAACACTAAAGATTTGTGACAGGTGAGCGACGATCAACGGCGCCAACTCCCACCTGAAGACAGACGAATCCGGCCCCCACAACTTCAGGCGCAGCACGCGCTGCGAGCCGGACATTGAGCGCAATGCACCGCCAGAACGGGTGAAAGGGCCTCCGTCACAGTGCTCCAGCGCTCCAGCCGGCGCTGCAATGCCAGTCGGCGGTACCTGCTTTTCCCACCTGGGCAGTTGCCTCCACCAAAACCCGCTCCTGCCCGCACCGGCCCACGACCTCGACCATGCCTGGGCCCCCTCCATATCGTGAGCACGACACACAAACAACAGCAGGAGCAAGGGTGGGCCTCCTGACTCCCGATTCGGGCATGAGGATGGTCATCTCCCGCTCGTCGTGGTTGGCTCTTGCTTTTGCATCCAAATAACAAC